GGGGCATGGAGGATGGGCAGTCCCCATCCCCCGCCTGTCTTTCTGCAGGTCCAAAGCCAAAGAGGAGGGGAAGACCCTCCCAAGGCGCAGGCCGTTTTGGAGTCGTGAGTTTGGATTCAAGTGCCACAGGCGTGGCGATGGTGCTTCTACCGTCGAATGGACGACAGGACTACTCGCACTACTGGCACCTATGGACAGGGGAAAAACACTCCCACATCGCAAATTCTGAGGCGAGTGTCGGGCCTCTGCCCTGTCATTCGGGCACCAGGAATGCCAGGCTTTGCCAGAAATGGAGCTTGGTGGAGCAGCCACCTGCTTTCTGCAGTAAGACAAAGACAGCTCATGGCCAAAAGTAGGTTGAGGGACAGAGACTCTTTTTGAGTATCCGCCGCAGACAGGACCCCTCCTTGGATAGCTGAGCACTGCAACGTTGCCAAGTGTCCTCACAGGGACTTGGTGCTCATCACAACACTCATGTTATTCTCACGCATAACCTCGCAAACCGCACATGTCTCACAAGTCAACGATTGCTCGGCAGCATGCTATTTCCGTCGAGGCACCTGAATAGCTGGAACCACCTCTTTCAGGCTGCTCTTCGCTGCGCTTTCTGCGGCATCGGCCAGGCTGCGCAGTAGTTCGGCAGTGATCGTGTCCTCAAGCCCGTCAATGAAACCATTAGAGCAGACATGAACAAGATGCAGCACAGGCACCGCAGCTGAAACAAATGAGCTACCAAACCCATGCAATTCAATTTGCAAAAGTGTGAGCCTTCTTCAGACATCTGTGTTACATCCGAAGACAGTGTGGACACCAGTGCACTGCAATTTGAAGCAGAGCTTCGACATTCTCGGACGCCTGATACCGTTGCCAGTGTTGCAGCAGCCTTTGAACCTGACGTACTGAAGCAGCATAATTCTTCCTGCTATCCTGCTAGCAGCTAGCATGTACCGAAGAACGGACGTCGTTGGGACTCTACCCCTTGAAACCTCGAGCATCTTGCGCTCGTCGCTGTCTGTGTTTTGCAGAATCCCCTGCCAAGGGATGAGACTTGTGGAGTTCACCGAGGTCAATCCGCATCGCGACCTCGAGTTTCTGCAGAAGCTCCTCTCGAGCTCGGTCAGCCTTGGGCCAACAGCTGGCAGACTCTCGACTTTCGCCTTGGAGTCCGCACCTTTGCAAGGTCAGGTGATGAGCGAGGTCGGCTGCGGCTCCGGTTCCGGTCCTGGCGCCAGTGACGCAAGCTCTAAAGTCCTGCACTGCACTACGATACCAACCTGCGGTCCTCCCGATGTCGAGCCTTCTCGGGTGAGGTGGAAGAGTCCTAGCAAGATGGTGCCTGTTTGCTGTCCAGCTTCTTTACCTTTACCGCGTGAAGGTGAGATTGTGGGTGAGACTACGGGTGAGAGTGAGGTCTTCTCCGAAAGCTTGGTGCGACGAACATCACGTCTGCTCCTGCCCGTTTGCTTCAGCCAGGTGCTGTCGCCAAGCTCCCTGTATCTGAGGTCGCAGGCCTCGGCAGAGGCTTTGGCCACTCTCTTCGAGTCAAAATCAAGCCAATGCCCTACTGGGTAGGACCCATCCCAGTAATACTGCCGACACCTGCAACTCCTGTCAATATCTGTCAGGCAAGCGTCGGATGAAATCAGAACCCGAGGCCTCACCCTCCGGCTGCAGGACTCCCTGCCAAGCCGATACATCACAGCACACTATGCCTGCCATTCCGCCTGCAGCGAGTCCAGCAGCTTCTGTAACCAGGCGCCCAGTTCAGAGTCCTGCAAAATACGAATCCTGGTCTTTCATGAGACCACGATCAAATTCCTAGCTTTGGATCTTATTCCGTTCCGGGAACATCCTGGAACGTATTCAAAGCTGTCCTCACCCACGCCTCTCGCAGCCAACTGTCGCGCCTCGACAAGTCGACCCCGACTCACAGGGCGCAAGGCATTGCAGTGCTCTGCATCTTGACGTCGTGCCAAGACCCCACGCGGCCTTCCAGTCGGCGCAGCTCTGCGACACGTCACTCAACAAGTTGGCGCCCGGTCGGGCCCAACTTCCCTTGAAGAGGTCCTGCCATCAGTTTGCCCTCCTCCGAAGTGAGCCTGAAGCACGAGGAGCTGAAGACTTCGGCGCCTCCAATTCCCGCAGCAGCTGTTCACCGTCTGCCACCGCCTGGCAATGATGCGAGTCGGCAAAGCTGGCATCTGCACAGAAAAATTAAGGCTGCCACTATTGACACTATTGTGGCAAATGTTCATCAGGCCTTCTCGAAATGAAATCTTCGACAGTTTCTGAAATCCCGGCCTGACTCCGGCTGTGCCGATCCAACTTTACTCCAGGCCGGCTGCGTGGCTGTTCCCCATGAACCTGTCGCTTCCAGAGATCCTTTCGGCCAGTCTCGCAAAGACCAAGACTATTGGAGGGAGCTGTGCTTGAGGTCCTTGATCTCCGACTGCATCTTCTCGTGAAAAGCCATATCTGCAGGCATCCCCGCGCCCTGGGTCACCAGCACCTGCCTTGCCGCATCCACGAAGCCTCTTGCAGTGCCACAGGAAGGTGATGGAAGGTGCAGAAGCATGGACCCATGTCATATGCCGCTGTATGCCCATGTGCCGCACCTTGCAGAGTCCGCGCCAGCTCCGAGTCTTCACCAAGGCCACGTTCCTGGAGCGTCCTATGCGCCCATTTGGAACATCGGCTCCTGCGAAGGTTTGAGCTGTGCGGCCCTCTTTCTCCTGGGGTCCCAAGTGCTCCCAAGTGCTGCCGAGGTTCTCGAATTCAGGCCTGAGATCTTCCCCGTAGCACCTGGCTTTCTGCACAGAAGAATCTGTCGCACTGCGCAAAACTGGTGATGTCCGCGGTCCCTGCCTTGACCAGGCTACATCAAACATCCCTTGAAGATCCTGCAATAGTCCGTCGCCATCCTTCAAAACCTGCAGGCACCGAGTTTGCGTTCACAGCGGGAGTGGCGGTAAACGCGAGCGACAAAGCAGCATTTGAGAAAGGCTCCGGTCGAATTTTTAGACCTGGGAACTTAGTAGTCGAATGTGTTCTTTTCTGATGGAAATGGCACATCAAATCTTGAAGGCGACAGCATGCGACGTTGTCGACCCCTCTTCTGTTCTCGGGTAACTGAACCGCTTCCATGAACTCGCGGTGCAAATCAAGGCACCTGAGCCTTTGCACGCTTCTCCAGCTTTGAATTGACTTTGTCCTGTCTACCACCTGGCCGGCGCTGCTCCAAAGTCAGGTCAGGCCAAATGATTGCCGCTTCGCCCCTGCCTCTCTCCGCACTTCGCCAGGCTTCCTCTATCTGGGGACGCAGCCTCTTGAAGTCCAGCTGATCGCTCTCACCCAGGTCGCTGAGGTTCTTGTCTACGACCACCTGAGCAAAGAAAGGCACGAGAATGCAAATGACTGGTGACCGGTGCATGCCAATGGACACGTTGACTCCCACCTCCACGGAGTTGGCTAGCTTCTTCAGGGTTACTCTGTGGGCGTCTTGTTGTCGGGCCTCCCATGACATGAGGAACCTAAACACATGCTCAGTACAGTTCACGCAGGGAAAGAGAAGGATCGGGATTAGCAGAGGAGCGCGGGCAACCTGTGACAACCTAGCAACCGTTGGAGCCTTCCAGGTGTCGCACGCCTTCGCGACCTCCGCCTCTGTCCATGTGCCATCACTGAAGAGCCTTTCCATGTCCTGCAGCAGTGCATCTCCACCATAGGCCTGCAGCTGAACTTCCAGCGGGTCTCGTGGGCATAAGTGCATGCACGAGAACTATCTGGAAATGTGATCCGGCAAAAGTTTGCTTGCGAAGAAACTGGTGAAACAGTCGCAACATTTAGGTGTTCATGTTGGGGCCTCAAAGCGTTTTCGCAAGGACGACGGAGACTCGAAAGAAAGCTGAACGCAGAGTGCTGCGAGGGCACACGAGCCTGGACAGTCTGCACTTGGAGCTCCCGGCTCCAAAGCCTCTCGATCTCCGCTCGAAACAAGCCGAAGTCCGAGGTCGCTGGAGCTGAGATCGCTGAGACGGCGCTTTTTGCCAGTTGCTCCACTCCTGCACTCAGAGCCTCCCGTTGCCTCGATTGCCACTGCTCGCACAAAGACGACAGCTCGGGCCGCAAGTTCGATGCCCCAGGCCCATCCGCGAGCAGCCTCTCCAACGCATCGAGCAGATCGGCACCGCCATACACCTGCTAAGACTCTACGATTTGTAAATGGCGCCGGTCATTCTGCATCACTGCCGGATGGAGAACAAGGACATCAAGACAGGAGAAAGGGATTGGTTTGGGGTATTCCCGTTCTTATGCGAGGTCTGTTACCGAGCCTCTTCCACAGCGAAGCCCGATGGTTCGAGACTTCGAGGGCGGGACACAGATGCAGAGCGAAGCTGGCGCTGCCATACATCCTCGATCTCAGGCCGCAACTCTGCAAAGCCCTTGGCGTCTAAGAGTCCGTGCCGCTGCACCACACCCTGTAGCGACTGGGATAGCTTCTGCAGCACGACTGCCACATCAGAACCAGCAGAGAGCCCCTGTGCTTCCAACTGGCGCGCTTTCCAGGTCTCACATACCTGTGCGAGTTCTATCTTGCTTTCCGAGTCCAGATGATATTCCCAGCCGGCATTGAAAAGATTCAACACGTCGTTGAACAAGAAGTCGCCGCCATATGCCTGTAATTACGTGATGTTGGATTGAACAAACCAAGGATACTGCTAACATGTGTTTGCCAAAGCTTTCTGCCTGCGCCACGCTGGGCTGCACGGGTGGCAGCGTTGCAGATGGGCGGGTGTTGTCTTCACGTTCCAACTGCTGCCTCCATGCCTCTTCGATTGCCGGTCGCATCCTCGCGAAATCACCCGTTCCCAGAACGGCACCGTCCAATCCGCTGCTGCCCTTCTGGCTCACCACATGCTGGAGGGATGCAGACAACTGCTCAAGGACATTCGCTCCGTCCGAGACGAGGGACAGGTTCTTAGCCTCCATCTGTTTCCTCTTCCAGCTCTCGCAAATTCTGGCAATGTCCGGTCGCAGGTCTGCTTCCGGATGCCTCCAACTGTCGTCGAAGAGCTTCTGCAAGTCATTCAGCAAGTCGTCGCCACCATAGGCCTTTCGGTATCGTCTTCCGCTTGCACTAATCACGAAGCTCTACCCCACTGAGGAAACAAAAGTGTTTCGTTCCAACATGAACTGGGATGCGGGTGTCAACAGGCTCCATGTAGCGTATTCTGTCAAAAAGGCTACTGCTACGGCTGCAGGGCTGCACACGTGCTGCTCAAATTGCAAGGGCTCTACACTTTAGAACTTGCTGCCTGTGCCACGCTGGGCTGCACTGGTGGCAGCGTTGCAGATTGGCGGGTGTTGTCTTCACGTTCCAACTGCTGCCTCCAAGCCTCTTCGATTGCAGGCCGCATCCTCGCGAAATCACCCGTTCCCAGAACGGCACCGTCCAATCCGCTGCTGCCCTTCTGGCTCACCACATGCTGGAGGGATGCAGACAACTGCTCAAGGACATTCGCTCCGTCCGAGACGAGGGACAGGTTCTTAGCCTCCATCTGTTTCCTCTTCCAGCTCTCGCAAATTCTGGCAATTTCCGGTCGCAGGTCTGCTTCCGGATGCCTCCAACTGTCGTCGAAGAGCTTCTGCAAGTCATTCAGCAAGTCGTCGCCACCGTAAGCCTGGATCACTGAGATGACTTCTTCTACAGTTAAGTGCTTCCTGCAGGATGCTCGGCCGGGCCGTGCCTCCATCCTTTTCGCAGAATTCCTTTGCCAGGCCTCGCATTCGCTCTCTGGACTTCCAGAACACAGCAATGCGCCAGGGTGCCTCCTCGATGGCTGCCCTGATCTTTGCGAAGTCCGAAGACCTGGAGGATGCTGCCTGCGCAATGATGCCTGCAAGCAGTCGAATCTCAACACTCGTGGCTGCAGGTTTGGCCCTGCCTGCCTTCTGCTTCAGACCACATGGCCTCTAGCCGAGGTGGGTGCACAGCTGCATGGCGCTGGCGCCATCGCGCCGCGATCTCCGCAGCCTTGGCTCCAACCCAAGAGCACAAAAAAGTGCAAGTTTTCTGAAGCCTTGGAGTGTTTTGCTTGGACACGAGACCTCATTTAGCTCAGGAGCCTCAGAGATCGGCACACCTCTTCGGGTTTCAAAGAGCCGAGACAGCTCTGCCAAGAGCTCATCTCCTGCTGTCCGAAGCTTCATCTCAATGCCTTTTTGCTTGCCTGGGTGTCGCAACATGCAACACTCGGCTTCAATGGAGATGGTGGCTCACATTGCAAACCCCGACGGGCTCGCCTGAGCACATATGCCTCGTCCTGTTCACACCTTTGTCATGCCTCCACTGTTGCTGCAGTACCCAGGCACCTCAACCTCAAACTGTCGGTAAGAAAAGGCATCCTCCTGCAAAGCCTGTCTAGCACTAGCAAGCTTGTGGAGGGAAACACCACGCTAGTTGGAGAAAAGCGTCTGTTCACGGAAAGCTTCTCCAAGCGCTGTAGGAGATTTGCCTCTGTCGAATGCTTAGCTTTGAGTACCCTACAGCGACCGCGATACTGTTGACGGGCTGGGAAGCATGCGCAGAGCTCCTATCAACAGTTACGAAACCCAGCGTCCTGATTCTCCTCCGCCGATGCAGTGACCTTCACCCCCTGCGACTCCGTGGGATGGCCTGTAGAATAGATCCTCGGACCGGGGAAGCTCTTAGCATTCAGACCCGAGCCAAGTCGAGACCTCTGTCCAACGTTCAGCACTGCAACGGAGGCTCTTTCGCATGATGACACTGCTGGCAGCCATCTCTATACTCTGAAGGGCCGTGGCCGCTGCCTCATCTCGGGCAAAGTGCGCACGTGCCACAGATCGAGTGCGCCAATCTGCCCGCACACGAGCCAGCTCCCGAAGAACCTGGGCATCGAAACTCTTCATACCCCCACGAGCACATGTGTGTTTGGCCCGCGCTGTAGCTGGCAAGGGGCATCGGTGTTGGGAATGGTGCTACCAACATGAAGGACTTGCCGCAGATCGTGAAGCAGTTCCGAGCTTGCCCATACGACGACATCGCGCTCCGCCTTGCATCTCAAAACATTCAGCTCAGGTTGGACCTTGGAAGGCCTTGCTTTTTGGCTTCAGAACTCGCCTCTGGCAGCGTCTCCTCAGATCTGCAATGCTTTTGCCACGCCACATCAATGGTTGCCTGCAGCTTCGCGAGCTCAGGGTCGGCCAGGTTGGGGTCCTCACCTTAGCTGGTCAGATCTGACTGGCAAAACTCACGGATTGAGTTGAAAGCTTGGGTCTTAAGATGCTCGAGCTGCTAGACCGCTAGACAAGCAGCTTCCCAGTAGATGAGGATTCAGCAGCACCTCCTTGGCAGTCTCGATGACGCTTGCCGGCATCATCTCAGGGCTGCCTGGCAGGAAGTCGCTGCGATGCCAGGTCTCGAAGAGCTCCGCCAGCTTCTGTGGGAGTTGCTTTGCTGTCGACGACATGAAGATCTCCTTCCAGGGAGGCACATCAGACAAGTGAAAACTCGGAGCATCTAGATTCAGCTAGATAAGTAGATAATTATGCACAAATATCAGCCAAAACACCAATATATGTATGCAAAAACATCCATGAATACCTGGCTAGGTAAAGCAATGCTTCCGGACATGCACATATATATATATACATGTCCACACAAAGATGTGTTATATGTACACATTGACATGGGTACACACATACATACGTACATACATACATACATACATACATACATACATACGTACATACATACATACATACATACATTTTGCATACACACAAGCATACATGGCATACATGCAAAGCACACAACACATACAATACATACAAAACGCAAAACACCATAAAAGACAATGCAATACAATACAGTGCAGTACAATGCAGTGCCATGCCATGCCATGCAATGCAATGCAATAAAAACAACACAGCACATACTTACATACTTACTTACGCACACGTGGAGAAAAAGTGCGGTGGTGGAGTGACATTGGCTATCTGCCTTTCAACTTAGTCCCTCTCATCATCGCAGCCTTTCTTTCCACTGGCATCATGGGGGCTCGGCAGCACTTCAACGATGGTCCACAGAAGTAGTTGACCCGCATTGCGTGTTACGTCGTGCCTTTACTTTAAAGACTTCAACACCACAGCCGAACCTTTCGTAGCTTCTTGGATTCTCTCCCGCTACCGTGGTGCAGTCTCCAGGCTGCAATGGCTAGCAGTAAGCTTGTCTGCATACATCTTTTTGTGGACAGGCCACATGCCCCTATGTGACCGCCGATTGGCCAGCCGTTTATCTGGTGTTTACAGAAATGGAAGACCACGCTGAAGTCTTTTGTCGCCTCCGGATGCTGCCGCGGAGGTGGTGATCATTTGTACGTTGTCAAATTTCCTTGCTGGCGGTTGACAGGATTGCGCCTCTCTGCTAAGAAATGCCAGTGACAGACACAGGAACCGGAAACAAAAAAGATAACAGTGTATTTCTGCAATCGACCTTTTGCAGCGTTCTGACGGCAACAAAAACTGGCAAGCCGCTGCCCGATCTGGTGCCGCAGCACCACGCTGCCGTGCCGAACAAAAACTTTTTGGAAGCGCACTGCTCCCGGAAGTGTCCGGCGTCTTATGTGGCAGACACACAAGTTCTAGACCGAAGCTGGCAAACCTTTTGCTTTCCACATTGTCTGCGAAGCTGACGGTTGATGGCGATAGCTAGCTGTGCTTGGTGTTTCTGTCCTTTGGGCGTGTCATGTGAGTTTTGATGCTGCCATGGCATGGGGCTAAGCCGAAGGGAGTGAGTGAGGCGTGCATAAGGATCGTACAACATCGGACAACGACTGCACTTGGGGGCCCCCCCAACCCCTTAAGTACATTATTCGTTGCTGTCAGGCTGGTCACCGGGTCGATGACCAAACACCCCAACTACATGGTGATCTATGGTGATCTCAGCTGAAACGTCCCACGGAAATCAAATGTACCTGGATCCTTCCGGTAGGAACAGCGAACCCACAGACATCCATGTATCACTTTGGGAGTGTTGTCTTGATGGCATCAAATATGTACATATAATGTGTGTATGTGTATATATATATATGTATACACACACGCAACTGTGTGTATGTATAGATATATATATATACAGACATACAGACATACAGACATACAGACATACATACAGACATACATACATACATACATACATACATTACATACTATACACGTGGTATCAATCCAGTATTTGATGTAGGCATACAAGCGTAGTGCTACCTGTAGCAATTAGCTAGAAGCACAATTTGGCGAGGGTATCACTCCTGCAAGGCCTGAAGAAAGCCGTCTCCAGCATCAGTGGACCAACGCGGCTCCTAAACGCAGGATTTGAAAGGCTAGTCGGCCAATCACACCGTCGTAATGCTCGACAACTATCGCAAGTATGAAGGCTCGCTCCTCCATGTCCACAGGAGTCTCCGGAACCTCAAACGAACAGCAAGAGTCTCCACATCTGTCACCCCCATACATATCGCTCGTGAACATTAGCGCCTGCATCTCACCGTGGCTGGGCCTGGCAGGACAATGCCGCGCTGACAATCACGTGCAGACAAACGACACATGCCTGCAGCTCTGAACAAGCTGGTATAGCATTTTCCGCACCGCCCAAAACTTACATTGACAGAGCATGCCGGTGGGAAAGCGGGAATCGCCTCTTTGCCACGCTGCGGAGGCTGCCCTCCTTGACATCAGAGTCGGGCTTGTTGCTTCTCGGTGTCTCTGCCTGTAGAGCGTCTGCGCCGTCTGAGGTCGATTCGCACTCAGTCGGTGCGAGCCTGCTCATCCTCCGTGCCCTTGGAAGGATCTTGTCCCAAGTCTGTCTTGCCCGGAATCTCCTGCCACCATGCTAGAACAAAAGCAAGACAAGAGAAGCATGCGCGCCACTACATGCCAACATGCGAGCCAGTTGCACTGCACCACATCATAACATGCAGCGATGCGCACTTCGACTACGTACACGAAAACATGTCGAAAATGCCCTGCGTGAGGCATGCCTGACCTCCACGAGTGTTGATCGTTTGCACCACCGGCGGAAAATGCTCCGCGTGGGCAACCCGTTCGCTGCTGATGGTGCCAGCCGCTTGCAAAGGCTTGCACCAAGCTGCGCACCTTCTTGCAAGTTAGGTCAGATCCCAAAACTTGCCAGGAGCTATAGGCATGCTTGAATCAGAGTCTCTCGTGCCGGAAGCACAACGGAAAGCTGCCGATTTGGACTCGCACTTGGTTGTACCATACCGAGCTTTTTGAGGATGACAACTCCTCTCAGAAAGCAGACTCCCAACTCTCAAGAGCCTACTCACCCTCACCAGGATGCCAAAAGCGATGTCCTGCCACGAAGACAGAAAGGGAGACCACCCCAGAGGTGACTGCCACGACAGCGGCAGTCACGAAGCTGTCCTCCTCCAAAGCCTCGAGAGATCGTGGAGGTCTACATAGGCATCAGTTCGGGGAAGCTTGTCTAGAGATGTTTTGTTGGGGGAACAAGGGTCAAGACGCGACAGCCGGAAGGCACATGGGGTTTAATTGCCATTGCTCAAGAGAACAGCGCAATTACACTCTTCTTCTTCTTCTTCTTTTTGCATTTTGGCTTTCGAGGTCCGAACCGACACCGGCGCCAAGGGCAGGATGAAGCCAGTCTCCTAGGCGGCGCTGCGAGGCATAGCTAGGCATGCCTGGGGCCGGCTGAGCTCTAACCTGCCTTGCATTGTCTAGTGGAGGGAACCGCAGAATCACCAACTGACGTGGCGACAAGACCGCCTGTTCTCGTGTCTGCAAATTCCTGATGTACATGCATACATATATTCGACTGTTTTAGGAGCTTACGCTCCCTGTGGAGTGGGTTGTTTCTCATTTCCGGACGCCAGCGCCAAAAAAACCTTGCGATGTGGGTTGCTGGCGCAGCCTGAAAGAAGTTGGCCCAGATTCAATGAAACATGTGCCAAATATGCTGCAGGCTAGGTTCGTTCGAGCTTGTAGTTGTTGTGCTTGACGAAGAACCTCAGAGTCAACCCAAGCCCTTGGGTCAGCAAACTTGTGGATCAATCGTAGGTCTCCACAACTTCATCTGAGAGATCGCTGGATACTTCCAACAAGTCGCTCAATGTTGTGCTCGTGCCCGCACTGGTTCTCGAATTCGTAGTTGTGGACGTACTCGAGGACGAGGTCGTAGCGGTGATCGAAGGCATGGTCGAAGTCCGTTCGGTCCGCGTCGTCGAGGAAGTTGACGTGTTGACGGCACTTGTTGATGTGGGCGTGGTGGATAGACTCGTCACAGAAGTGGTCGCGGAAGTTGTGTAGCTTGTACTCCTGGTACTGGAAAGGGTTGTGGTCATGGTCAGCGTCAGCTCTGCAGACGTGCGGGTCGTGCTTGAGGTAGAGGTTGTTGCTGAAGTTCGTGAGCTAGTGGTTGAGCTGGCTGTTGTGTCCGTGCTCGAGGAAATTGTGCTCAATGTGTTTGTGGTCGTGGTTGTCGACGTGGAGAGCGTGGTGATTGTGGATGAAAGCGTTGTGCTGGACGAAATTGTAGTATAGGTTGTTGTCTCCGTCCATGTTGTGCTGCGCGTCTGGGTTCTCGATGTGGTGGTGCTGGACACTAAAGTTGTCGATGTAGTGCTGGTTATAGTGGCGTGTGGATCGGTGGACGTTGTGACAGTGTAAGACGTAGTCGTTCCTGTTGTGGCACTCATGGTGGATGAGCTGGTGGTCGCAGAAGACCGTGTACTTGTGGTTGTGCTCGGAGCTACCTCGAGTTCGGCGTAGTAGCCTACCTGAGTGCAGGGGGCCGCAGGTTCAGAGTGCGCTTGCCCGGGCAGATATCTCCCCGTCGAGATTCTGCTTGCTTGAACAAAACTGGGTGTGCCGCCGACAAGTAGTATGGCACTGCCAAGCCCTCGGCAGCAGGCCTTGCCGCAGATGCTCTACGCTACTTGCAATGGACACGTCACAGGTCACAACAGTAAGGACGGGACGCAAGATCTTCGACACCTCCAGAACCGTCCAAGGCGGCGCGGTGAAGCCTTTGCTGCGCTTCGTTCTGGCTCGGGAAAACCGCTTCTTTACAAAGGGGAGTGCCTGACAACCTTGCTTCAAATGGCTCCCCAGTTTCCAGATGCATTACAGTCCATGCTTGATGCTAGGCTCCAGGCATCTGGGTGCCCTCGGAAACCCAGTAGAGCATCCCGGCATCAGCACTGGGCGCGAGAAAGGAAGGGGTCAGTAGGTCAGGTGGTCTGCGGGATTCTCCAAGGAAGCTTAGACCAAGTCTGGGGAGTGGCAACGCATCAAGATCCCACCTCATTCCTCTAACCTGTCTGCACTTGATTTTTTCACATCCTGTCACATGAGCAGGGTGAAACAGATCGCAAGGCAAAAGGTTGCCCCTCGCGTCGCTGAATGACGGTAAACACATCGTGAGAGGCAAGTCGTGTCTGGTAGCCTTTTCGCATGAAACCGTCGGCCAGGGACAGACAAGCCTCTGTATGTCTATGTCGGTGTCTCGCGTGACCCGACTCAGTCAGCTTCCACTTCCGGTGAATGCTACCACTCCGAGCACCTGAAGCGGAGACTGTTCATCATGGACTCTTGATGCTAATTTCCTGAGGAACCTGAGATGAACCTGAGTGGAAGGCTGCTCCAGACAGCACTACAGTGGACAGCAGGCAAACTCCTGCACTCCAGCATCGAGTGTGCTGACGATAGCCCCGTTCTGATTCATGTGCAGGCGGAGTGACTTCATGCGTGCTCTGGCAGTAGTACTAGTACTACTATTTGCAGTGCAGCATTCAGGCCAGTCGCGGGAACGATCGCTCTCAAAACAAGTTTAACTGTTCACAGGCTCCTGTGGACCATCTGGCAGGGAACAGGCCACACACCCACACCCTTGGTTGCAACTCACGACCACTGCAGCAAATCTTGAACCCGATGTCAGGCAAGGCTGCCCAGATCTAGTAGTACAGACCAGATTTGCCAAGCATCATCAATGCCAGCACCCACCTGAGACAGGCAGCATGCAAGTGCCGCAAGCCTACCCTACACGACAGAAAGCCACAAGGTCAAGCCGCCAAAAGCAGCCCCAACAAGGAAAGCCCAGAAAGCGCATCTCGTCCAGACACGCAGCCACGAAGCAGTGGCCTGACGTCCGGTTTAGTTTGCAGGGTGGCTGAAGCTGGTAGTTTTGTCGGCGCACAGTTGTTGAATGGATGGCAGCTCAGGTTCTGGTACTTCTCAATGGCTCGTGCGATCCCTTCGTCGCAGGTGCCCCTGCAGGTAACGCAGTGCTGTACTCACAAAACAAATGAAGTCCATCCAGCCTCCGAACGAGCTTGCTTGGCAAGGGCACATAGCGGATGATGGGCCCGAAAGCCAGCCTGCATTGGCTGCATCCAATCACATGATGAGCTTCCTAAACCGAGGCATAGACGATACAGTAAAGCTAATTGCAAACAGATAGCTGCCCGGGATGGTTTTTGTCGGCACCGGTGCCAACGAATTCGAAGACCTCGTTGCAGCTGGCAGTGGGGTCAGGCCACATGGCAACCGCGGAGCCTCTCCGCGCGAGTTCGTGATGCCCATGTGACCAACCAGTCCTTCACTGCATTCGATCGGGATAAACACCTGCTGCACTCAATGCTCGCAGACTTCAAGCTCCTGCTGTGCACTGCGTACATCCTGGCAACCATGTCCAGACCTGAAGGCACACAACAGTACAACGAGGTATTGTTTTTTCCCGAGGGTTTGATTGCACAATCAGCCCAGCTTTGTCGAGCGCTGGTGCGATCTGCAGACACGAGTTGCTTACTTGTTGTCGTGTGCTCTCCTACTCCTGCAAGGAGTGGAGGACCCTCAGTGCGTGTACATGTGCACACCAAGTCCACTGTGAAGTTCCTGCACGACTGTGAATAGCCTTGGCAAGCTCAGATAGCGGCAATGCTCTCGGGGTAGATCCCTCGAGAGGAATCGAACTTCACGGCGTCGGCACTCCTCCACAAAATCGAGGCAGGCACAAATCCCGCAGAGCAAACCCGCACATGCAGGATCTTGCTGGGCCATTAACCTCATCCCGGCCATTGCTGAACACTTAAGTTCTGGCAACAGCTGGCACCGTAACCACCATGGCTTGTATCCTTGTTTCTGCATCAACCAGTACAAAGCTGCTGTGTGGACCAACCGCAATGGGCGTCTGAACTACACATGAACAGCCCAACAATCGTAAAGATTTGAGTACATCAACCAACTTCACGACTCGCCCACAAGACGCACGTGGCTTCTGTGCACAGTTGCGGCAAAGCACGCACACAGTTCCCAACACAGCCATGGCGCCATTCCGCTCAGATCTCACTGAAAGTGCTCAGCAAACTCACCGCAAGGCCTTTCGCAAGTGGTGTCCATGTTGCACGAAGTTGGTGCCATCTCCTGACGTTTTGCATCAGAAAAACTGACTGGGAGCCACAAGACAATCGTTTAGGCCGCATCTGAAACTCATCCGACCACAGTTGCAGTCCGGCCTCATCGCTGCTCATGTCTCTGTCTCGTCTACTGCCAATCTGCATCGCTCATATACAAATGCACGTCGGATGTGCATGAGGCCATGTTGTATAGCAGATTCGTGTATGCATGTATATGCGCAACACTATCCAGCTACCTATCTGCTACCTATCTGTCTGTCTGCCTTTATCCATCTATCTGTCTATTTATCTAGCTAGCTAGCTATCTATCTGCATGTCTATATGCATATATCATACATCTATACACATATATGCACACCTACCTCTATATATATATATATATACATGGACATACACTTAAATACATATACATATATATATATATATATGTATATATGTATATACATATATATATATATACATATATACATATATATATATGTATGTATGTATGTATACATGTGTGTGTGTGTGCGTGTGTGTCGGTGAGCCGAGTCGGTGGCTGGGAGTTTGATGTGTGACTGAGCCTCTTCAAACTTGAGCCAGTCCGCGCTTTCTCACACATCACTTCAAAGCTGAGCTCGAACTTCTGCTCACCACGGTGCTGCAGGTAACGTACTGCAACGAAGCAGACCAATTCAAAAGCGACGACAAGTCGGGACTGACCCACCTTTCAGGCCACCCTGGGATGCGGGCTCGATGGTGAGCCCCATTGGCTTGTTCAAACCTGAAAGGTTTTGAGAATGGTCAACTTTGTGCGCAGTCTTGAGGTGTTGTTCAAGAGGGCATCCGGCCAGACAGGAAGGTCTCCGCAGCTTGGCCAAAGAAGCCTATGTCCCAGCCTCAGGCATGCTGGGGATATGCAGAGTGGGTCAACTCCACGGGTCAAGCGGAGTTCAAGCGGTTCCAGCAGATCCCAGGCTAACAGAACTCGAGGCTCGAGCGCTGAATCTCGTTGTCAGATCGGCTCGACCAGTACAGCCTGTCCAGGAGGAAGCTCTACAGAAATCATCTAAATCTGGGCTCACCGATCTGGATCATCTGCCAGTGTCTAGACGTCTGTTGATGTTGCCTGTCCGCTCTACGACACTTAGGCCAAGCAGCTTCTCATTGGTCGCATCCACAACAATTCCATACGGAGAATACGTGGTGGCCACCTGTGAAATGGCGCTTGGTGGGATTAACATGCTACGGAACTCGGCAAGCCCTGCTCTTGACAAACCAGGTCTACCTCGTACTTGTCGTCTGAGAGGTCAATGTCGCGGCCGTACACCTTTGTCCAGTGCATGTGAAACCTCGGAAACTCACCAAGAGCTCATCAAACTTGAGGCGCCGGCAATTCCCAAATCAAAGCTCAGGAAGAAGACCTGGCCAGCTCTACCCGTTTCCTTTGAAATGGCCGTGTAGGATTTCTTCCTGCGCTCGCCGGTGCCCAATTACAAAAGAAAGTTTTCATGCACTCGCTCAAGGACTAATCGTTGGAACAAGCTGGGCTGCTGCATGCAACTTTGCCTACGTGCCATCAGGACATTGCTTTGTTTAACTGCACTGTTGCAAGAAGATGACAAGTGAATTGTGACTCATGATGGTCGGCACGCAGACCTGGCATAGAATCAATGACCGCTGCACCGACGGCACAGCTGCAACCGTATGCCCAAAAGGTGCGATGACACGTACGCTTTCGTCTTGCTGGCTGCTAGCATCAACGAGCAAAGCACAGTGCAGCCAACAAGTGCTCACAACTGAGATGTGTCAGGCCTGGCCACCCTCCGCATCCACTGCGACTCCGCTAGGCTCTTCGATGTTGTCTGCCACATCTTCTATTGGCCTGTGCTGCATCTATCTAGTCTGCACAGCCACACAGTAGATCATGAGTGCGACGGCTTTGCAATGATTGAGCTGGCTCAGGTCTGGACCCGCCGTCAAGGGGTTTTCGCTGAATCTGCCCAGGTCACAAAGTCATATGCAAAGGTTGCACGCGACTTTCTCGCTCTCTCTCTCTCGCCGTCTCTCCAATGTGTTTTGTGCGATTTCCAGCCGCCACGTCGCCTCATCATTTTGTCTTCCGGTTGCCTTCCCTTTGCCCCTGAGCGTCTCTGGTGTGGTCTCCAAAGATGTTGTGCTGTCGGCGTGCAAAGACGCTCAGTCCAGTTCTGCTCCTCATTGATGAAAAGTTGTGTTCTAGTCGTGGGTTGACCTCGCCCACTCTCTATGTCTGTTTGTATGCAGCATCCTGACCCGAACTTCTGGGAAGAGCTTTACTCAGTACTCTTGAACATACCGCCGATACATGACATCTGGCATTCTCTTGAGGAACAGGGCAAGCACCTGGTTTCTTGGGGCGGAGGATTCCCTGTCCCCCAGGAAAATAAATGCCTGCCACCAGCAGCTGCTCTCTGCCTCTTCTGCTGCATACTCTTGTCGTCTCTTCTTGCGATCTTGGAGGGAAAGACGACTGAGGTCCTCTCTCACTCGCCCTGCCAGCTCGATCTGAGACCTTTCACCACAGAACTTCCGAGCAGAGCGGGCCAGCTTGAATGCTGGAGTGCTCCTTCTTTGCTGTGTTGTGAAACGGCAGGCGGGCTGGTATCCATTCAAGTTTGGTGGGAAGTTGAGTTCGCATGTGTTGTCATAAAACCAAGCCTGCACTGAACGACACATGGCAAAAGCTCATTCCTCAATGCGAGCTAAAACTCTGAAACGTTTATCTACCCTCCTCCAAGTTCGTCGATGCTTACACCTGTAAACAAGGAATCGCAAAAGAACCATACGGCCATACGGTGAAGCCGGAACTTTACCCTTAGAAAAGCTGCTGTCCTCAGTTGTGCAGATGTTCGCTGCTGCTGTGTTGTCTAATAGCGGTTCTGCTCTCTGTTGTACTGACCCCTTGACGGGGGGGGGGGGTCTGAAGGCACGGGAGGGCTCCTGGCCCTGAGAGCAGCCTTCCTGATTGATCAAGCAATAAGGCGGAGGGAGGGTGGTCCGACCCCCACCCGCTCTGTGCTGACGCTTAGATCCCTGGAGTCTCAAGAGCTGGGGCCCTGTGAAGTCCCGTTGGACCCAAACCAAATCTGTAAACAGCAATTCCCGCCATCGCAACATTGGCGTCTACTCGTTGGTCCATGATCGTGCATGCCTTCTCCAGCTTCCGATTTATCCAGCAATGCAGCGTGCCTTTCCCAAGGTCTGATCCGCCCAGTAGAGAACTCGATTCTTCTCATCCAACCTCGCTCCGCTTACGCCAATTCATTGCTACGCACCAAAAAAGTGACACAGGCTGCTGCGCTAGGCCCATGGGAGATCGAAGTCCTGGCAAGAAGTCGAACTCTCAGGCAGCTTGTGCAATCAATCACCCGACAGCTCGTGAAGCATAAATGGCCTGCAGACGCATTGACCCAGTCCTGCGACCGAAGACTTACTAGTTGTTCGTGTCAGAGACCAAATATCTTTTGCACTTCGAGGCTTCGATGCCGCAATGAGCCCTGGAACTCATGATGCTGCATGTCTCGCGCCACAAGAATCCTCTACAGCACCGCTGTCATCTGGAAGCCAAGCGCGTTGAATCGCCTGCTGAGCAGACCAATAGATCCTGCCACGACATTGCCCTACCATACGCTCTTCATGCACCTGCACCTACTGAACCAAGCCACATGAAACAACTGTCTAACAAAGGTCGGGAATACGTCGCAGTCGGCTTGTCCACCACGACTCCATATGGATTCGTCAGCCCGCTCCGATAGACCCTCAGTGGAAAGATAACAATGGTGGACAAATCCTCGGCATGTCACATGCTACCAGCTGCTGCCCACGGTAGCTTGCTGGAACTGCAACTGACAAAAGTCTGTCTTGGCTCCCGGCTCCAAATCCGATCCGTTCAAAGTAGATCGCATGATGGCATCATTAGCCGGAACAGACCAATACACTTTCATGTTCTCGTCGTTCTCGTCCTTAGCATATCCACAGCCGCGATGCATCCTTGTACTTGTACCTACTGCAACCAACTGAAGTGTTCTTCTGAACCAGCTGCTATCACAACCGCACTGCTCGTGCCAAACGGCGCTCACGGGCGCAAGACCATCTCGCACTCCACTGCTAAGGCACAGGCCGATTGCCACGAACGCCAAGGGAGGAGCAACAGAAGCAAAGCCCTCGGTCATCAAATGCTCCGGAGCGAGAAAAGCCGACGGAAAGGAGGGAGGGCAAGCGACCCGCTCTGACTCTTTTCCTGGGCAAGCAAACTTCCAAGACGCCGACACAGCATGACCTGAGGCAAGCAAAAAAAAGTATGGGACACGCAACCCCCCGCCCCCTACCCAACAAAAACCAGCTGACGCTACACAAAGCCGGGAAACTCTGTGCTCTCCTGGGCATCCAGGTGTTCCCCAAGGACCTGGGACCAAGTTTAGGCACCACAAAAAACAGAATACACGAACAGCATTGGTGTGACCGGCAATGGTGTGACATCTGAGTCTGTCGCGCAGATTCCCGTCCGCACGCGGTCGGCCGGCGTGCAGTTGCAAGACGCGGCTCTGAAGAAGTATGTACTTATCTGTGCAGAGGACATCAGCTGTCTTCGAGGCTACATTGCACATCCTGTCACATCCACGAACTTCTCAGCTGTCTTGGTTGGAGATTATTCATTGTCTGGGTGAGATGGAGGCTAAGTTTTATTTCCAGAATCGAACGTACGTACTTCTGCTCCCTGTCGTACACACTTATTCAATTTCTCTTGCTGCTCAGGCCGTCTGTGGCCAAGGCGACAGGACGTCACCTCGGCTGACCAGGAGTTATTCTTCAGTGGTTTCCACACGCCCTGAACATGAGCGAGGCTTACAAAACTGCCCGAAGGCAGCCAAATCCAAAGTACGTCGTCTTTCCATCATCTAAAGCTTTGAAGGAACAATAGTGACAGCTCACTTGGGCATGCTGTGTTTTTGGACGGCTGCGGCGTGTATCAGGACGTGGGTCTGGATCAGGCCACTTCGGAAAGCCCGGATCAAGCCACAGACCATCCCCACCCGGGTGGGGGAGGCCCCCAAACCCCAACCGGCCCTTGGGAACGGTACCATACCGTCCCAACCATCCCAGCCCTAAACCCCCAAACCTCCAAAACCCCGAAACTCCTTGAACCCCAAACCCGAAACCCCTTGAACCCCTAAACCGCTAAACCCTAAACCCCTACATCCCTACACTGTTTAGCTGGCGGCCCGGCAGCGGGCCGAAGCGAGCCCGCCGAACCAGAGCAGCGACAATTTGGCTGAACGAGTTGGATCCTTTAGCACGAAGAAGGGCTCGCTTCAAGTGCCGTGCCGCTTTTTTTTACAACATGACGACTGACAGTACAATCCTCTAAATATTTTAGTAACCCTAAATCCCTCGACCGCGAAACCTACATGAAAGGACCGCTAAAATCCTAATCAGCGAAATTCTTAAAATCCTAATCACCTAAACCCTAAAAATCTGAGAATCCTAAAGCCGAAAAAATCCAATTCACCCAAACCCTAAACCCCTACAGTCCTAAAGCTTCAAAAACCCTAATCACCTAAACGCCTCAAATCGTACCTAAATACTGAAACCGCCAAAACCCTATTCACCAAAACCTCCAAAATCCCAGATTCCTGACGTTCCAGAAACCTAAAGTCCTGAAAACCGACCCCCAAAACACTAATCCATACAGCCCCGATGATCCTTAAACCCTGAAACCCTTCAAGCCCCAGACTGCTAAAGCCCCGACAGTCTTGAACCCCTAGACTCCTATTCTCCTTGCCTCGCTCAATAGGTCCAATAGGTTCTGTTTAGCTGGCGGCCAGCGTGCTCAACGGCCACCCAGATGAGCGCACATCCGGTCCGTTTTAAGTACATTCGGTCCGCTCTACGTCGCTCCATTAGTTCCATGATCGTTGATGTGTCACTCAATGTATGTATGTAGCTGAGTGAGACAACCTGACTCTAAGTTGAACCTCGCACGGTGCACCGTGCAAGCTTGCGCGTTCTACACGGATGATGCGGGTAAGCTAGCACCAGCCGCATAGCTGCCAGAAGGCGAAAGACGCCAGCACAGCCTACTGCAGGGAACTAGGGTCCTAGGTATGAGGGGAGGCCAAAGGGCAGCAAGAACCCCCAGCACGAACGACCCAAAGGCCCGAAGAGGAACGACGAGAACCTTGGGGCTTTATGGGGGGGCAGAAAGGCTGGGCCAGGCAAGAACGAAGGCGCAGCCAGCAGCGGTGGGCGAAAGCTTAGGGCTTAAGGCCAAGAAAGGGCAGCCTCGTCAGGATCACCGGGGACAGAAGCTCCAAGGTCGGCACACGGCAGCAGACGCCGAGGCCCGAGGCTTGAGCCAAAGGCCAACACGGGCGGAGTCAACGCAAAGGGACAAAGCCCAGGCGTGATGCCTCACACAGGCACGCAGTGTGGGGCAAGCAAGCGTTACGCGTGCAGGCGGCAACCGAAGTGAGGCAACGGACAGCACTGGCAAAGCGAGGGTGCAGAGTGACGTGGTCAGCCCAGACACGGCCCTTACACCACCAAGTGCAACGGCCCCTGCACGCACGCAGGAAGGAGGTATCAAGCTTCCGCTCGACAGCAGGAACCAAAGGGGCTGACCACAGCAGCTTGGGCAGGACCAGGGACAACAGGATGGCCTCGTGAGCCTCCATATTGCCACGGAGGCCAGAGACTGCTTGCGAGAGCTCACAAGAGGTCGGCCGAAGCGCGGCCGGTAGGCAGACTGGGCACCCGTGTTGGACCGTGAGACCGAGGTGTTCAACAGGGTCGTTTCTGCTCCAGGCTTTGACGCTTACTAAGGTGCTCTTTGTAGCCCAGGCGAGAGTCACACCACTGTGTAGCAGCCAAAGCAGCAGGAAGCGCAGTGGCAACAGCTCTGGCATCGACGATGCTCCTGTCGTCCATGAACAGAAAGGGGACAACGTTTGCCATCTTCATGATGCTGGACCAAAGGCGCAACCCGTAAGCCAAGAAGTGCGGAGAAGAAGGGTCTCCAGCGGGGAGGTCACAAGAGGCCAACACGCTGTGGACGACACAGAAACGAGGAGGGACCAAAGAAAAACTGCATACTGCGAGAAGGGACGCCGGCGGAGCGTCCGGAGACAAAAGCGATACCGTGGTCCACGTTGTAAACCCAAAAGCCCACAACCCCCAAACCTCGGAAACCAAAGCCCCTAAATCCAAAACCTAAACCCCCTAAACCCTAAACCCCTAAACCTAAACCGCTTAACCCAAAAACCAAAACCCAAAAATGAACCCAACGCCCCTAAACCCCTAAGCGCAGAACCCAAAACGCCGAAACTCCGAACTCCCAAATCCATAATCCCAAAACCCAGAACCCTAAACCCCTAAAACTGTTGAAACAGTTAGTGCCGAGTTTGATGTCAGACTGCATTGTCAGCCTACTTACCTATGGGGAAGACACGGTCTAATCCGTTTCGAGAAGAGAACATCCAGGGCCATAGTCTTTTCCGTTCTGACAAGAGAGCATCCATGGCCCAGCCATGATGGGGTCCATGGTCTAATCCGTTCTGAGAAGAGAGCATCCTTGACCCAAGCATGGTGACGTCCATGGTGTATTCCGTTCTGTAAAGAAAGCATCCGCGGAACAATCATGATACTGTCAATGGTTTATATAATCCCTTTTGACAAGAGAACATCCAAGGCCCCCAACCTTTCAGCGGCCTGATCCGGACGCAAATGGCTTGATTCGGACCCAAATGGTCCGATCCGGACCCCGCACTGGCCTGATCCGGGACCTGTTTAGAAGCTTGATCCGGGACCTTTCTACTAGTAACTAGTAGTTGCCTGATCCGGGACCTGTTTGGCGGCCTGATCCGGACCTTTGAATGGCTTGATCCGGACCGCGTAGCGGCCTGATCCTAGACGTTCGTTTTGGTGGCTGATCCGAAACCCTTTTCCGCGTAGCGCTCGCTCCTGGGCAGCACTCGCACTGTGCTAGCTTCACTCTATACTTACCAGTAGCAGCTCTGTGGTAGGTGGTGCAGTTGGGTGCAGTCTGCGACATGCAGATGCTGGGGAAGCTACTGCACCGAGCAGGGCGAGTTTGGGTAAATTTGAACTTGCTCAAGGCAGTCCTCTCGGCAGCAAAGTGACTCAACCATTGCCGAGTCAAGCTAGTCCCCAGCCACTTGCTACGCAAGAAACATTGCTCTCCTTCTCAACCCGGACCACGTAGCAAATCCCTGCCATCTCCCATTGCTTGGGCGCCACACCCGCGCCAACCCATTTCCGTTAGCAGAGGAACATAGGTCCTCAGAGACTCAAAGACTCAAACGCCGCTTTTTGGCGGTCTCTCGAAGGCGACGACATGCCTTGCTTGCAGTAGACTCTTGGCTCCAGGCTTGCTTGGCCGTGCCAGGCGCAAATGCTTGAGCCAACAACAGCGAGAGGCATACACCACTTGACGTGTACACGGAGATAAGCTCATGCCAAGGGACACAAGACTGCCCATTAGCGTTGGCTGAGCCGAATGCTGCTAAAGACTCTGTGGAGTACTCTTGCTTACTCGACTCACGGTAACGATGTGCTGGAAAACGGTCCTGGACACTCCAGTCGGTACCTTCAGGCTCCAAGAGCCCGATTCGCAGTGCGGTTGCCTGAGGCCATGCAAACCCATGCCATTCGCGAATTTGAGAAGAGGTGGACACTCCACTCAACGTAAGAGCGCAGTAAGAAGATACAAAGTCGGTAGCAACTTGGATCCGCTTTCAAGTTTCTTCTCGCCCTGAGCAGTTTCCAGCCTCGTCGGTTTCTTTCAGGTGGCCCTCCATGATTTCCTTCCTGTAAACAGTCCTGTCCAATGCGTCATCTTGTATCCTCTCCTTTCGATTCGGCTCACTGCACTGGTTGATCTGAGTCTAACCACAGAAGATCAGCAAAGGTTCTGACATGTTCACCTCACGCTCAGCATGTCAGTCCGAACTCCAGGAAAGGAGGGCGAGTCCATCTCCTGGGGCGATATCGAGGGCCAGTGGACCAAACGATGGATGGCTCTCGAACCAGATCCCAAAATGTGGATCTCCCGACAGGCACTGCCACCAAGATCCCACCACATGCCACAACATCAGAAACTCAAGCTGTCACAGCAAGATTCACTCTCGGGCACGGCTCCTCCTCGTAGACCTCCGTGTCCTCGAAGGCAAAGTTGGCTGCCCGGGCCGTCACCCCCAGAAGATCCTGAAAGCTTTGCTGCAAGGATCATGAGCCTGGGCCCCGTCCCGCAAACGGCAGCACTAGGTCCTGCAAGACCCGGAACGCAGTCTCCTCGGGCTCCAGCCACAGAATTCTACGGCGGTTCTTCGGAAGCGCCAGCCGGGCTGCGCAGGAGCCTAATGGGCCTAATTCCTTTTATGTGGGTTTGTGCATGATCGTGCATTTTCAGTGGCTCGTGCCTGTGAACTCTCGTGTGGGAACTTTTTCGTGCCAGGAAGTCGCGAGGCAGCACGCCTGACGGAATGGAATGGCTGAGCTGGACTGCACTCGCAACAGCTCGAAAACAAGGCCTGCGCCCATCCGGATATTGCTCGCCAACTTCGATCAACAGGCGGTCCTGTCACCCCGAATGTCGGTCAGCCCAACATGCGCAGGGCTGATTTTAGGACAGACAAGTAAAAAAGCTCATCGGGCCTAAAACAGTAATTACTAATTACTGTTCTCGAGGAGGTAGATGGACGTGGAACCCTGCAGGCCCTGCCTTTCTGGACGAGGAGTACAGCCGAAGCAAGACCACATCTACCACCCGCACCTGAGTAACGTTACGTGTCAGTGGAACCTGAAGTATGTCCACAATTCACTGACTCGGGCAGGTACCAGCTTTTTGTGAGTGGTCGCATCCAGCATCAAACGCACAGAGCCGTTCTGCACCTGAAAGCAAAAATGTGTGGAACAGCAACGTGCTGCAGCTGAGCAGAAGGCGTGAATCCGAGCTAGAAGCCTCAGAAGCCAGCTGCTCGAGGGTTTTGGCCTGGCGCCGTTTCGAAAAGCTAAGCCAGGCTGTCACCAGTCGTCGCCAAAACGACGAACACAAACTCATGACCAATGAAAGCTCTATATACTGCCTCTCCCACGCCAAATTTCGCAATGTCAATGTTGTAGTCCTGCGAACAAAGCCGCTGCGTGAAGCTGCATGTCTTTCTGCTCGCGACGACGCCAAAGGTTGGCTTCCCACAGGCTCTTTTCCTGTCAAGGAAACAAACCGTACGTCCGAAAAAGTCAGCAATCACCGCACGGTTGAACAACTGCATTGCTAATTTACCAAAAATCAGCCCAAATTGACTGAACATGGGAAAAGCCTTCCAGCACTATGAGAGAAGGAGAGGCAGAGGCACAATCAGTCGGTTACCGGCAGCCAGAGGCCGCCCCAGTTGTTTGGCAATTCAACTCAATGTTGTTTTCGAAAGGGGCAGCCACCTCAAACAACCGCAAACAGATTGATTGTGGGACTACTCGATACAACAGACGCCCCACATATTGGTTTCAAAAAATCGCTTTGACATAACAAGCACAACGCCAACAAACATGATGATGCCCGCATGCCGCATGCAACTATTCAGATGATTAGCACCATGGCTCGTCCTCCACTTCACGATCCTTGACTGTTCTGCGGAAAGCAGGCTCGAGGTGCATGAGCTGGCTGCTAGAGGTCCGAGGTGTTGAGCTTAAAGCTGGAAACGAAGGGCCTGGACTTGCAGATGGGCTTAAAACAGCGACGGAAGACCTCGAAGCACAGACGTCGTTCTCGAAAACACCGACCCGGAAGCCATGATGTCTGGTCTGTTTGTGGGCGAATGAACACGTGAGACTCCGGACCAAATTGTGCTAAACTTCAGTTTTGGATTTGTGGGTCCAGACCTCCCTGCTGGTGAAGCCCCTTGTGCCCCACACGGAACCCAAAAGGGAGCCAATGATCTAGGGGTCGTTGAAGCTGAGGATGATCTGCCTTTGGTCATTGAAACGATTTGCACGAGTTGACTTAGGTTACCTTGGGTTCCTACTCAGGCATACCAAAGGACACTTGAGCTGCTCGAACAATCTCTCCTGCAACATCTTGCCAACGATGTGTGGCGACCTGGCTGCAAATGGCTGCATCTGTGCGGTCTGGAGAATCTACGTGGCTGGAAGAAACATATACTGAATTCTAGCGCTTCCTTTGTAGGTGACTCTCAACATTTCAGATCACGGGCCTGTCGAGCTCTCTGGACACCTCCTCCAGGGTGCCTAGGATGCACGTGCAGTCATCACAGCAATGAGGAGATGTGAAGGAAGACTGAGATGTCTCGACATCTGCCCCTAGTGCCCTAGTAGAATGCATTGACAGCGGGCTTCTGGCAGCTCAAAGCGGAGCCTCGGGAGCCTGACCCCAAAGCGTCCAACTCCCCGCCCAAACCGACATCCCTTAAGCCATGAGGTCAACTTTCAGACTTTCGTGCCGAAGCTGCGCTCTTGGCCCTCTGAACTACGCGGTCCCAGATTCTCGGCCTGCAACAGAGTCTGGGGCTTTCCGAAGCTTCCAAGTGTGTGCTTGGCCTGTATCCGGTCCCACCACTGGTACAACCAGTGCGCCCCTGGCAGCCGGCGATCCGGCACAGAGAACCTGAGCGCAATGGCCCAGGCTCTCATTCGAGCGTCTGATGCCCTGAAGTCTCGGCGGCTGGCTCGGTCAAGCTGGCGCAATGCAGGAAATCCACAGCTGCGGGACCCTGTCAAGACTCCAACGGTCAAGCGATCAGACTTAGCAGAAGCACAGGGAACGCATGGAACTACTCCTGGGCAGCTGAAAGTTTGAGAGGCCAGCTGCCTTCGTGTGCTCGTTGTTCAATCGTTCCATAAGCTCGCGCCGCCTCTCTGCAACCTGGTTGCATCAGAAACACTGGCGGCCTCTTCTGTCAGATGCTAGCACCTTACGGGGGTTCCCAAAAAAAATGCAGTGCATGCGCAGGCCGACAGCTCTGGCAAGTTGCTTCGGATGCTTGTGCAGCCATGTTGAAACAACACCATCTGGTTGGAAAAGGCAGCTTGCCGGAGAATAGCTGGCTTTGCTCTGGCTTCGAGTTCTCTTGACCCCAGTGAGGGATCACCCCTCGAGGGTGGCCGAAGCACGAGGCGATACTTTCCTTCCGGATACGTCGACATTCCCTTCCGAAAATCTCCTAATGCGTGCATGAAAATCATTCGACGACCTTTCTCTGAGTGGCTTGCGCTGCAGTTGGGCTCCTCGTGTTCGAACTGATGAACAGGAACCTCGGGCACTGAACACTGCTTAGAGCCTTAGAGCGGCAGGAAAATCTGCCTCCAAAGATTCTGAACTTCTCCGCCGACCTCAGAGCTGGGAGGTGCAAACCACAGCAAAGCTGTGCGCGAGGCAGTGAGCGCCGGCTGTGGCCGAGGCCGTCCCTCGACTCGGAGCTTCTTTCGAAGTCCTCGGACTGATCCTGACGCTTCCAAGTCCCAAGCAACAGAGAACGAGAACAAATCCTCCATGCATCTCCATGCAGAGCCTTGGCTTGCGAGCAGCCTGCAAAGTTCGAGAGCCATCGATGAACCTGGCGGCCACATGCGGCCCAAACATGTGGTCCCGACAGCTGCAGCGGCGCACCATTACATCTTCTGCCGTAGCACGAACGTCCTCCTCCTTTAAGAGCATAACTCGGATGAAGTCTTGGCACAGAGGCTCCAGCCTGCATTCTTCGAATCTGGTATGAGACATTTCGTGGGGACATCGTTAACACCCAGCACCTCTTTGGATACTTGGGCTCTTTTGTCTTGATGTCGTGCTCGTCCTGACAATTCTTCGACCCTTCGCTAGGAAAACCTTCTGAGATCGAGCTTTTCACAGAATTTCACAGAAATCGAGAAATTGTAAACTTCCCTCCTACGAAACATCGGACTCGAATAGATACATTCTATTTATTTCTATTTTGTTGAGACATATTGCCGTTCAGAATCTTCCCCAGAGTGGCCAGTTAGCGTCAAGCGCCAAAATGTCTAGAAACCCCAACTTGTGGACTGCCACGTGGGATTCTTCGTCGCCAGGCCAGCCTTGAAAGGAAAGCGGCCATCCAGCAATCCGTACATGATGATCCCGAGGGCCCAAACATCCACCTCCCAAGACCGGTTTTTAGCCGTGACACGAGCGTGGACGCAGATGGAAATCTTCTGCGACTCATAAGAGCAACCCCTTGCAGCCTTCAAACCATAACTCTTGCCAAAAATCTCTGGAGCCCAAAAGATCCTGCCAGGCAGCCACACAAGTGCAAGACGGAAGCAGTCCAAGAAGCAACCATGCACACGCATACGGCTGAAGAAATCACAAAAGCACTCTCTCTCTCTCTCTCTCGCTCTCGCTCTCGCGGCCATGGCTCCTGGTCCCAACCTCAGACGACAATCGCCGCTGTCCCTCTACCAGCTCTGCAGTACCTGCACCGCTCAGCGCCACAAGCGCACGGGAATGCTAACATACGGCGACGACCTGATGGATTCTCAGAGACAGCAACCCTGCAGGGGACCCGATGAAGGACTGATCTCACTTGCCAAGGATCCTCGAAACTCGGTGAATCAAGCTTGACATGATGCCAGTTGGTTCACATTTCTGAGCTGTGCTGCCAAGTGCAGCCAGACAAAGCGAGTGAAACTCGTCGCAGTTGTCCGGACACATGCCTGCTCTTTTGCATGTCAACGTCTACACCTGTCAATCCTTCGCAGGTGCTGCGATATAACGGCACACTGAGGTTTCTGTCACATCCGAACCGAACTGACACTTAGAAATCAGGCAGGTGCCGAGCCAGACTCCTGTACAACCTGCTCAAATAGCCTGTCAGCACAAGAAAATCTCAGACTTGCGTGCTTTTCTCTGCAATACGCAGGTGGAAGCTCTGTTGAAAACTGCCCATGGGAGGCTCCCTTGTTCTGTCTGTACCAGCGGCGGAAGGATCTCTACACTCTACACGTCCAGTCACCAAGGCAGGGTATCCCTGCGGGTGCAGACGTCCCTCTCGCGCCAACTACAGCAGATTTCCCATGAGCAAAACAACCATCTCAGAGCACTCTAAGATGTTGCCAGCTCAACTGTGCTGGCAGCGTTGGAGGTTGTGGCCTCAGCCCATGGCTTTGCGAAGAGGGCTGGACAAGGACAGCCTGCCCGCCCTTTGCACGAGCAGACCTGTACCCGACTAGTTGTCGTCAAAACGCAGCGTGCTGTTGAATGCGCTTCTGATCCACGAAGTTCTTGTGGGGACCTGTTGCCTTAGCTCGCAGGCTCATCAAGCGATCATCCCTTCCTGCATTATTCGCACCGCCTGCATCGAAGTTGCATCACCCTCGATTGCAACTAGCAGTGGATGCTGAAACTGATCTGGCATGTCGGTTGAGACCAGGTAGTACTTCACCGCCGCCATGCTCGGAACGGCCTCTCTGCTGCAGGATGCTGTGTGTGGCAGATTGCTGCGTGCGAGTACGCCGTAAGAACGTGCAGCATGTATGCCAGGAGTGATGAGACATGGATGTCCAATCTCCAAGTAACGCTCGAAGGATATTCTTCTCGTGCCAAGCCAATTCCACGAGAATAGCCCGATGGCTAGCGACGACTCTATGCCAACCGGCTCTTGTCACACTTCCAAAATGTTCACCAGTCAAAAGGCAAGGACAGGAAGACGGTTGCCAAGCAGTGCTCTAGTCACGAAATCACTCAGAGTCTGCAACCATGCCGCCAAGAACATTCCAGTGATACCCAAGAGTGAGGAGAACAGCATGATCAACGCCTTACTGTGCAGACGTCGGCAAGGTGTTCCGCAACAGGCGGTCATGGCTTGCACCACTTGCATCTCTGGCACCATGATGATCACAGGGTGCATGCGCATGAACTGCCCACCCATAGTAGCATACATCTGCACCTCCACTACATTGCCTGTCAGTATGCGGTGGCCAGTGTCTACCAACACGTGAGCATGTAGTGTCACGAAGTTCATCCCGGCCTGTGAAGACTTTTATTGCGGTCCCCATGATCACGAGCCTGTCCACTTTCGCGGTGCTTACTCATCAGGCCCCCACAACATGCTAACCAAGAAGCCAAATCAAGTTCTCCAGGCGCCGCTCCATAGGCAGATGCCCATCAAACAAGATGGCCGGGACTGTAAGCACCGCAGAGGCGATTGCGCCTCTGCACAACATGCGAAATCTGGCTTCGTGCCCTGTGCTTAGCCGCGGCACCGATCTCCGGAATGAAGTTCAGAAGGAAGGTCAACACCTCAATAAGTAGTCAGAAAGGCTCACGTGGTATCCGTTCTAGCGCAGCTGATGCTTGATGCTGAGACCACGGCAAAGAAAAGGCTCCAGATCTTGCACTGCAGGCACATGAGCAAAACCTCGGCCAATAGCTCTCATGGTCATGACTTGTACACCTGGGCACCCAAGTGCACAGTTTGCTCTTGGGAATTGTTGACCTTTAGATGCATGCAGGGCGCGCTCATCAAGGCAGAGAAAAGCAAGCAAATGAACGTCTTCATCAGAAGATAAGATTTGAAGACCTGGAGAAACTGATAAAACGGTGTAACTAACTGGAAACCCTGCTTCGCAACAAGACGTCTTTCGTCCAGCCTCTGCCACAGGGCTGCTCACAGGCAAAGGCTCGAAGATCCAAAAGAAAAGGTACACAAAGAACATGAGAGCCTTCAACTGCACATGAGGCTCAGCAATGCGAAGCACCGTGGCGCCTGAACAGTTTCACACGCCTGGAAGCTCAGTGACTCGAGTGAAGACGCAAGCTGCGAGGCCAGCGTCCCAAGCTCGTTGGTTAGGAACGACGTAATCTTTTGCTGCAGCTCCTATTTTCACAGTCTTCCAATCTTCCACTCATGAAAGCAGTCTTTGCCCAAAGGCTCCGGCCGAAGGATATGCTGTCTGCACTTTGCTTTTGGATGCAGTGGAAGATAGAAGAGCTGTTCATGCGGGGTAAATGAGCTCCTTCCATGTGCTCTCTGGCAGTATCGGCTTGACAAGGTTGAGAAAATCCTCAACACCCTGGCATTTCAGTGGCCGAACGCATACAGCGACTGTCGTGCGAGACGCTTCTTACAGCAAGTCCACGTGAGGAGAATCAGCTTCAACACATGCAGCTTGACTACCTTCTTGTAATCGTCCAAGTTATTTGTGAAGCTCTGCACGCCCAGGGTGATGCATTCAATAAAGAACCTAAGCTGCAAGTCGTAGACTGACAGTCAAGGCATGTCTAGATGCTGGATGCCAGGCATGCTGTCTAAGAAACCACATGCCGGCAGAAACCAGAAGCAATGTTAACAGCAGCGCCACCAACCAGGACCTTAGACTTCTCTGTGGCACATAGCATCTCACGATAGGTCTCTGAGTCAGCGAAAAATACTGGACCTGCTCAATAAGGCTCGCTGTACCTCCTGACTTTCTGTAGGAGTGGCAGGGAAGAGCTCTTGTCCATCTCCAAGGTCCCATTGATGTTTGATCGCGTTGTAGGCGGACTGAACAATCGAAAGGGGCCCGACCCATCTGCTTCCACGGCTAGCAGACACCCCACTAAGATTCGCAAATCTTGTCCTTTCTGAAGTCGCCTGCCTTGTCGGGATCACCGCAGCATACTGCTCTGATGCGTCCAGGAAGAGCTCGAGCCGAATTGTAGTGAGTCCTTCATGCACCACCACCGACCCCATCACCACACGCTACTATTCCTACCCCCAAGTACTACCACCCCGGGCATTGCCCGTGCATCGCTACCAAAGCTGGAGCCAATGCTCAGCACCGCTGATCAGATCTGGCCTTCCTCGCCGTCAAACGCGAACTCCCTTGTTCCTGCAAGTGCAGCCGACTCAGAATGCAGCCAGCGGGCGTAGCAGCATGCCTCTGCCATATAGAGGGGTAACTCGGGACATTTGCGAGGGCGTGCATCTGAGGTTTGGTTTGCAGATACAGTCGGAACAGTGACGCAATGACAGCGAGTTCGCTCCCATGGCAATAATTTGGAATGCGGGTGAAACATGATTCGGACAATATCAATGCAAACAGTTTTAACCTAACTCCGTAACAGCAATCTCATCCAAGACCATGAGAGCTTAGGCTGGTGTAAAACAGCTAGTTGATCAAGCCGGCTCAGCTTGCAGCGTGTCCTGCACTGGAAGCGTAGTAAGTCCAGCCTTGTACCAGTCCTTGCAAAAAACAGTGCAAGACTGAACAACGACAGCACAGGACCTGATATCGCCTGATGAGTAACGTGACGTAACAAAGTCCAAATGCAATTGATGGACTGGCTGCGACGTCTGAAAGAACCGTGCAATGCTTCAAGGTCCACGACCTGGCTATTGAGGCCATGCTGCGATTGACTTCAGGGCCCAGGGAATCGTCTTCAGTGCCATCCTGAAACCACACTACAGAGTATTTCTAGAAAAGCAAACACCCACGATTCAGGATTTTCCTTCCCTGTCGCAATGCCATAGTGTGACATACAGAATCAACCAATCACTGTCAATAGTTCCGGCAAAGCCAACTGTGTCAAACACTTGCCGTGCAGTAAGCGTCCATTCCTTCGTAGCAACATCACACACACACACACCTAAAGGAGCAAGCAGTACAGCATACCTGAACCCGCCTAAAAGGGTATTTGGCCTCCGTTCACAAAATTAGCCTTGCAAAATGATTGGGGGTGCAACAATAGCTACAAAATCTACGTGCGAGCTTCGTCCGGGCCCTATAGCTCAACAGGCACCCGGAAAAGTCTTGAAATGACAGGTTGGCAGTCTTGGGAAGCGCTTCGTAAAGTCTACCAAAACCACTGGTGTGCAAAAACTACGATCGAATACCCAGGATATAAAGTACAGGCCCTTACGAATCCTGCTGTGGTTTCCGCGTGATTGCTGCGCTGAAATAGTAAGAATCCATAGCCCGAAACTCCAGATTGGGTCGAAAAAAATGTTTTGCAGTCATGTCAGCTCGTCTGACGACTGAGCACACACTCACTGCAACGACAGTTGCCTAGCATGGCTCCGACTTCCAGCAGCTGCATGAGATTTCTTACAGCTGTTACTGGTGCTTGTCGCCAACCACCTGCCAGTTAAAGCCACCACAGGGCATTCGCAGAAAGCGACCAGAGCAGACGCTAGACAGCAACACACCGTGACCGCTGGCACACACCAATTGAATTACGGCATCCATGCGTCAGGTGTTGTGAAGAAAGTTCTGCACCAAGGCAATGGACCCGGCTTTGGCATGCCAGCCCTCTTACAGTGTCATCTACAGCAATCTGTGTGGCACCTGCAAAGAGAGGCTGACAATCTTGACGCGCCGCCGGAAGCAGGACCTTGATAAAGGACACCATACAAAACCCGATGGTCATCCATGCCCGGCATCAGGGAGTGTTGGCTAGCTGTAGGAGACGAGGCATGGAAAAATGGAATTTGTCGTCAAGACTGTCCTGCTTGTCTGCTGGTTTTCTGTGCCAAGCCGCTCAAGGCGCAGCACTTGCAGCAGCTTGAGGAGCCTTGACAGCGAAAATCCCGAGATTGACTTTGATATAATGTCCTATTCCAGGGCATCGATATCAAACCTGTTAATCGATTTCAAGACACTCACGTGAGCGCCGTCGTGACGGGCAACACATTCTCTTTCCCTCTCTCTCTCTCTCT